CACTGATTCAGTACTGATATGGCATTAATTTGTACGGGACAAATACGCGTAAAATTTTCGGCGACTGCAGATTGGCCTGCGAAGCACTGTAACAGCGTTGTAACATTCCCATGGTGCCGACTTTCAGCGCCTGGATATTCCCAATAAGGCAAAAACAATATCATTTTTTCAGTTCCATGGTGCAAAATTCCTCTCAGCTGCCGCGTAAACTGCAGTCCAATCGTTGCAGACTGTCTCGATGTAGTGTGTCACCGCACTGCCCGCGCATCGATGAACATTCGAGATTTCAGGGAGGTCAGGTTGAGCTCACAGTCCCGCCTTACTGTACTCTAGGTGAGTGTCGGCAATACACAGTACGCTTTGTCTGATGTAGTTGAGACAGTGCTTTCGCAACGGCGAAGGCTTTCCTGAGACGTAGTCGTCCCGGAGGATGTCTAGGCATCGAAGCTGGTGGAAGAGGGCTAGGCTGTATGTTTGCGTTTCCTCGCCCTCTTGCAGGCGTATGAGATGTCCTCCGGATGGCATGAGGTTGGCCCATTCTTGAGCACCGACGGACGTGTTGAGTTGGTATCGAGCCGACGTGTCAACGATCATCCTTACGGGCCTGTTCTCTTCCATCTTCAGATGCTTCACGGCGTTGCCTGCAAGTAACCAGTCAGCGGGGCTTTACAAGTCTTTGCAGGAAATTACTCGCCCGGAACGATATTGGAGAGTATGGCCCGGCCAGGACGAAAGGCCGAGAATGCCAGCATGACAGTCACCAATGCTTCGCACTGCAGCTTCATTGGGTGCGAGACAATGATGGGGGATTGTAGGTGCTCTGAGATACTTGGCCGCATGAAAAGATCTAACAGGTTGTGACAGTGTTCGCATGCGCGTTAGAATTTCATACACAGAGTGACATATCCAGTTGAGTGTAGATTATAACGCTCCATGATAAAAAATTCTGATGTTTGATCCCATCTAGGGGTAGAAGCTAATCTACCAATCGTGTCATGATACTATCACACAGAAGCAGCTAGGAATGCTGTGGTATGAACAGTTACGGACCCCGCGCTCCGCTAAGATGAAAGGTGATTGTTTCATATGAATGGTTCACATTTTCACGCTGTCTATCACAGGCTTCTTCGGACCTTCAAGTCCTCGAATCATTCCGCCGAGAACTTGATATCGTACTGCACCATGCGGCCTGTGTCTTAGCATTGCTATTGCATCAGCTACCTATGACTGGAGTCATCTATATGCAACACGCCGAGTTGCTTCTGATGCCCTTCGCTGCGTGCTTCTCCTAGAAGAGTACTTGCTCCGTGAAATTCATATCACCGGCCATAACAAACTCGTTACTACGCGGCAAGGCGTGGTATGCTTGGCCTTTTCGCGTGAGTATCTTTGTTCTGAGTCGGCACCAGCACCTTTTTTCTTCAGAAATCACCTGCGTATACTGCGGTCTGTCTTCTGGGCCACTGCCCTTTCGATGGAAGTCATTAGAAGGGCTAGTTCGTCCGCGAGCTCCGGAGCTTCACCGGCTTCAGTCAAGTACAGGGAACATTGCTCATTGTTGCTCAATTAGTACGTGTCTTTGATTACATCCAATCAGCTACGGTCATCGACTCGGTACAAAAGTCCACAGTGGGTATGACCGCTATTAGGAGGAATCCAACAACACTCAAACACCCCCAACTAGAAGTAATGACGACTTTGCTCCGCGTCTTGACTTTTCTCACAGCCTTTGTATTGGCTGCTCGCGAGATAAGCGGCGTACCAATTGACTGTCCAGATACTTGTGGGTCTAGTATGCGTGGCTATCATGTTTCAAGTTCGCTAACTACCCTGATTACGTAGCGGTCTCCGATTGGACTAGCAACGGAAACTCTGCCTCTGGAAAGAGAGACTGCCTCAAATCTCTTATGCCCGACTTCTGAGGTGATCTCGACCTTACTCTGTTTTGTAGCGTACAGACGCTAACCGCACGACCTCATCTTTGTGCAGCAGCAGCCTTTCGCTATTCTATGACTGAGAAAGTTCATCGCAGGAGAGCTCATGTATAGCTGTAGGACTCAAGTCAAAACTTGCATACATTGAGTCATAAGTTATGTCATAATGTGTGGCCCGGAGAGCCCTGCTGGCAATCATAATGATGACTTCATAAAAATAATTTCTGTATGATGAGCCCAGAGACTGAAACGGCTGTAAAAACCGTAAAACTCAACACCCTACGACAACGGCCTGTGTTGCTGCTGTCTGGATGGTTGGTGGTGCTGCCTAGGTTCTGGCCGCTTCCTCGCTTGTCACCCCACACGCGCGTCTTTGTTCTTGTACACGGCTTTCACGACTGATCTGCCACCCAACTTACGTGCTGATCATCAAGCACTAGACATCACGGATACGCCACTCCCTAGATTATTGTTAGCGACCGTTTTTACTCAATCATACCAGGCACTGCACTCTTACGCTTTGCATCAATATTGGCATCAATACATCATGGCCCAGCGCTCAGTCGTGGCTACTGGCATCATTAATATTTAGACTCCGTAGCAAGGAACTTCAAGCACGAGACGAATTAGGATGTCTTTTTGGTTAAAAGAGGCATGAAAAGAGCTTAACAACATTTTCCGAAAATAGCCTTGCTCTTTCAGTGAAGAAGATGCAAAACATTTTCAGCGGAAATAGTACCAAAAGAAGGAGCACTATTTTTGGAAATATCTTTAGTGATACCGTGTATTTGTGATGCAAAGAGAAACTTTTGCGCCTATCCAGGTGAAAATAGATGCCCTAGGTTCATCTGTAAGCAGTGTAGATATTGTCATTACTCTTTGCATCGCAACTATATGGCTTTTGCACTACGAAACATTTCCAAAATAATGCTCCTCCTTTTAGTACTATTTCCGCCGAAATTTTCTCACATCTTTTCCGCTGAAAGGGTCGGGCTATTTTTAGAAAATGTTGTTGTGCCTCTTTAAGCCGAAAAGCTCTCTTGATTTGTCTCGTGAAGGAGACTCGGAATGTTTACCCCACATGCTTAGGCGCTGAGCGCAAACCACTGACGATTGATTACAGTTTCATGGGTACAACATCGACTTCTTCGGCTAACCACACATACGCGGTGCATTCGGTTATTGCCACGTAATCTTGGTCAGTATATCCGGTGCCGTCTCTCTGGCCCGCCATTCATCTTTTCCTTCTATACCTTCCTTCGCCTACCTCACTATGAAGCTTAGTGCGCTACTCACATCGTCTCTATGTCTCGCGGCTATAACTACCGGTGTCCAAATGTATCGTTATCTTCAAGCACAGAAACATTCAACCGTGACCAGAAGAAACGATTTTGCTGCGTGTGATGGTACAGAGAAGAGCTGTCCAACATTTTGCCTAGACTTACTCAAACAATTTCAGAGCATAACATCCTTCCCTGTCTCGACGTCGACCCCGAGCAGGTCGAAATGATACTCGAGGAAACC